AACCGTTGAAAATTCTCCAAAAAACTTTCCTTAGAGGACAATGTGTGAAGACTGTTGTATTTCACCCAGAGACCATTAAGCCCTTTTACAAGAGATTACTAATATGTTTTTATTGAATCACCATGAGATACAGTTACTAAACTTTCATATTTGAGTTCATCATACAATGATCGAACACCAATTCTTCCACCAGTGCACATTCTCCACCACCATTGTCCCCAGATTTACCCCCACTCCTTTTCAACTCTCCCCCTGCCTCCATGGCAGACAATTTCCCCCATACTCTCTACTTTTAGGCATTATGGTTTGCAATATAGATACTAAGAGGCTATCAAGTTTTGTCCCTTATCTACTTTCAGCACACATCTCCCATCCCAAACTATTCCTCCAACCATCATTGACTTAGTGATCCCCTCTCTATTCCAGCTGCCTTCTCCCACAGCTCATGAGACTGGCTTCCAACTACGGAGCAATATTCCTGGTATTCGTGTCTACTGTCCTTGAGTATCAGTCTCATATTACAAGAGACTGGTAGAACTTTGCAAGGAAAAAACCTCCAACCCCATCAAAAAATGGGGAGAAATAGTGAACAGAAACTTCCTCAAAAAAGAAATTCAAATAGCCAAAAGGCACATGAAAAAATGTTCTGCATCGATAATCATCAGAGAGATGCAAATTAAAATAACAATGAGGCATCATCTTATACCACAGGAACTGGCACATATCAATAAGAACAAGAACAACCAGTGCTGGCACAGATGTGGGGAGAAAGGGACTCTCATTCATTGTTGGTGAGAATGCCGATTGGTCCAACCTTTTTGGAAAACAGTATGAACATTCCTCCAAAAACTGGAAATTGAGCTCCCATATGACCCAGAAATACCACGTCTGGGAATATATCCCAGAGATGCAAAAAGATACAGTAGAAATGACATCTACATTTGTATGTTTATTGCAGCACTGTTCACAATAGCCAGAATCTGAAAAAAACACAGTGGCAAAGAACAGATGACTGGTTAAAGAAATGTTGATACATATACACAATGGAATACTATGCAGCTGTTAAGAGAGATAAAATCATGAAATTTGCATATAAGTGGATGGACATAGAGAGTAGCATGCTAAGTGAAATGAGTCCGAAAGAAAGCGACAGACATAGAATGACTGCACTCATTTGTGGAATATAAAGTAGCATAATATGAAACTAACACCCGGGCTTGAGTGATAGCACAGTGTGTAGGGCGTTTGCCTTGCACATGGCCAACCCACATTCGATTCCCAGCATCCCATATGGTCCCTTGAGGACCATGAGTAATTCCTGAGTGCAGATCCAGGAGTAACACCTGTGCATTGCCAGGTGTGACCCAAAAAAGCAAAAAAATGAGATGAACACCTAAGAACAGTAGTGATAAGGGCCAGGGGGATCACACTATGGTTTGGAAGCCGGCCCCACATGCTGTGATAAAAGGTAGTTGTGATGGAGAAGGGACTGCTAAGCAGATTATGATTGGAGGGATGGTTCGAGACGGGAGATATGTGCTGAAAGTAGACTAAGAACCAAACATGATGGCCTCTTAGTATCTGTATTACAAATCATAACTCCCAAATTAGAGAGGGAGTAAGAAGGAATGTACCTGCCACAGAGGGAGGGATTGTAAGGAGGTGGGAGTAGTATGAGGAACATTGGGAACAATGGCGGTGGAAAATGTGCACTGGTGGTGGGATGGGTACTCAATTATTGTATGACTGAAACATAATCATGAAAGTTTGTAACTGTATTGCACAGTGATCCATAAAATTTATTTTAAAAAAGAAACAATAGTTTTGTATAGTAAAGTGGTCAGTACAGAATTCAGAGTGGTAAAGAAGAAAATTGAATGGCCAATAGGCACTTGAAAAAAAATGCTCTACATCACTAACCATCAGGGAGATGCAAATCAAAACAATACGATATCATCTCACACCACAGAGACTAGCATACATCCAAAAGAATAAGAACAATCAGTGATACAGGGAGAAAGGGACCCTCTTTCACTGTTGGTGAAAATGCCAACTGGTCCAGCCTTTTTGGAAAACAATATTGACATTCCTCAAAAAAACAGAAAGTAAGCTCCCATTTGACCTAGTAATACCACCTCAGAGAATATGCACTGGGGGTGGTTCAAAAACACAGCAGAATCACCACCGACACTCCTGTGTTGGTGAACACTCCTGTGTTCAGCAGTAATCACAACAGCCAAAATCTGGAAACAACCTGAGTGCCCCCAAAATAGAGGAATGGATAAAGAAACTATGGCACATCTACACAATGTAATACTACGCAGCTGTTAGGAAAAATGAAGTCATGAAATTTGCCTATAAATGGATGGACACAGAAAAATATGTTGTTGAGTGAACTGAGTCAGAAAGAAAGGGATAGATATAGAATGACTACATTCATTTGTGGTATATTATATATATATATATATATTATATATGTAGTAGAAGACATATCCACGGCCAGGGAAAACTGGGACTAGGATGTCTTGTCGATGTTTGGAATCAACCACAAGGGTGTGTGGAGTGGAAGGCAAGGGATCAAGATGACAATAGCTGGAAATGATCATACTGGACAATAACTGATTGTTAAAAATAGGTAAAGGGATATAAATGACAGCCTTTCAGTATCTGCATTGCAACCACAATGCCCAAAAGGGCGAGAGAGAGACAGAGAGAGAGACAGAGAGAGAGAGAGAGGAGAGACAGAGAGAGAGAGGAGAGACAGAGAGAGAAGAAAAGTGTCTACCACAGAGGCAGACTGGGAGGGTGAGGGTTGATGAGAGGGAAACTAAGGACACTGCTGCTAGGAAATGTTCACTGGTGGAGGGATGGGTGTTGGAACAATGTATGATTGAAACCTAATCATGAACAGCTTTGTAAGTGTCTACCTCCCAGTGGTTCAAAATTAAAATCTTAAAAATTAAAATTAAAAAAATTATACAATAAAGTTCATGGCATTCCTATATACAAATAATAAAATAGAAGAGATACTTTTAAAAAAATCACATCACATCTGTGTCTCAGAAAATCAAGTACTTTGGGGGCTGGAGTGATAGTACAGAGGGTAGGGTATTTGCCTTGCATGCAGCAGCCAACCCAGGTTTGATTCCCAACATCCCATATGTTCCCCTGAGCATCGCCAGGAGTAATTCTTGAGTGCAGAGCCAGAAGTAACCCCTGAGCATTGCTGGGTGTGACCCAAAAAGAAAAAAAAGTACTTTGTAACAAGCTTAACTAAGGATGTGAAAGACCTATAAAAAGAAAATTACAAACAGTACTTCAACAAATGAAAGAGGACATGAGGAAATAGTAACACACAACCTGCTCATGGATTGGGAGAATTAATATCATCAAAATGGCAATATTCCCAGAGTATTATACAGATTCAATGCACTCCTTACAAGGAAAGCCATGCTATTTTTTTAAATAAATAGATCAAACCTCCTCAAATTCAAATGGAACAATAACTCACCACACCCCAAATTACTGAGTCAGTTCTGGGTAAAAGGAGATGGGAGGCATCACTTTTCCCAACTTTAATCTGTAGTACAAAATGGTAGTAATTAAAACAACATGGTATTGGAATAAAGACTGACCCTTAGATCAATAGACTAGACCTGTATATCCTGAAAAAGACTCTCAGGGATATGATCAGTTAATCTTCAGTAAAGAATAAAAAAAAATGAAGTGTGGCAAGGAATACCTCTTCAACAAGTGGTTTTGAAAAAAAATTGATCAGCTACACTCAAAGACTTAATGCAGTACTCTTTCTACTGCCTGTATAAAAATTCAATCATAATGGATTAAAGACCTTAATATAAGACCTGAATTCATAAGGTACATAGAGGAAAACCTAAGCAGAACTCTCCATGACAATGAAGCTAAAGGCATCTTCAAGGGTGAAACATCAATGACCAAGAAATTGGGAGAAAAATTAAACACATGGGACAACATTAAACGAAAAAGCTTCTGCACTTCAAAGGAAACAATGACCAGAATACAAAGACAGCCTATAGAATGAAAAACATTATTTACCCAACACTCATCTGATAAGGGGTTAATATCTAAAATATATAAGACACTGGTACTGTCCTCCCGTTGTTCATCAATTTTGCTCGAGCGGGCCCAGTAACGTCTCCATTTTTTTTGAGACTTGTTACTACTGTGTTTGGCATATTGAATACGTCACAGGTAGCTTGTCAGGCTCTGCTGTGCAGGCGAGATACTCTCGGTAGCTTGCCGGGCTCTCCGAGAGGGGTGGAGGAATCAAACCCGGCTCGACCGGGCTCGCTGCATGCAAGGCAAATGCCCTACCTCTGTGCTATCACTCCAGCCCAAGAAGGTAAAATTCAAAAGAGTAGTCCACCAATTTAAGTAAGTCTGTGGCAAAATTAACATTAAAGGGAAATATAGGCTCATACTAAAAGAAGTTAGGCCACAAAAATTAATAAAAGTAAATTTAGAATGTTATCTCTTGTACAAAAAGGGCTGACTTCACCATTACTTCACCATTAAGAACAAATGACACACAGTCAAGCAAAGCAACCTCTGCTGGGGGTAGGGTGGGGTGAGGAGGTGGGGGTGCTGATTCTTTTTAAACTACATAAAAAACCATTTAAGTGCTTACCTGAAGGTGACAGTGTAGAAGCTCTCTACTATCAACTGTTAGAAGCAAGTTAATTTGGGGAGTGGGGAGGGGGCACTGACTGTTAAACTGATGGCTGAAGGTGATTAAAGATTGTTGTTACAATAAACAAACGTAATTCAAATGTCAGTTCAAGTAAAACAGCACAATATCTAAATGGCAAACAAGATGCACTGATAAATTTTACTCTAGATAGTCTGGTTAAATTTCTACTGAAGTCACGCCCAGTATAATTCAAAGGTCAGGAAATAACCCAATGCAAGATAAAGGAAAAATGCATCCATGAATAATATCATTTCACTGTATTTGTACCCACCTAGAAGATTTGTTTTGTCGAATACATCCTTCAATGATTTCTTTCACTTCAGGATCAGTGACTTTATTGAAACTGGCAGGCTTTATTCCCTATGAGAAAAAATCATTGCTAGTTACAAATTAAATAATCAAACGTGAAAGTTAGTCATCAACATGTTTACTTATCAAAATAATTTTTACCATTAAGCATATTAAAAATTTCCCTGAGATAAGTATATCACATAGCATAAGTCTAATAATTATTGACAAGGATTTTGTAACAGGTCTATAAATAAGTGAAAAATTAAAGCCAATCTAATTTTGAATATCAAAGGCAAAATTGCATAAACTGTGTGATATATACACTAATATGCAGAAACTAAAAAGCTCTCAAAGAAATAATAGGGATATTTTCATTCTTTAACATTAAGTTGGGAAAAACAGGAAAATTGAGTATGACCTTAATTAGCAAAATATGTTTTTGAAATTAGAAAATTAATCAGTATCATGGGGCCAAGAGTGATAGTACAATGGGTAGGGCATTTGCCTTGCACGCAACCAATCTGGGTTCAATTCCCAGCATCCAAAAATGGTTCCCTGAGCCCACCGGGAGTGATCTTTGAGCACAGAGTCAGGAGTAATCCCTGAGCACTGTTAGGTATGACCCCAAAACAAGTACATTTTTAAAAAGAAAAAAGTCTGTATTTGAAAATCTAAATAGGGCTTCTCTTATCACACATTCCAAATCAAAGTACTTCCAGTACTATGTTCCTATAATAACTGTTACCTGCCTAAATTTATTTTTTATTCCACTACCATACATTTGTGAATTTTATATTAAAAAATTGGCTGGAGCAATAGCATAGGGAATAGGGTGTTTGCCTTGCATGCCACTGACTGGGGTTCGATTCCTCAGACCCTCTTGGAGAGCCTGGCAAGTTACCAAGAGTATCTCGCCCACACAGCAAAGCCTGACAAGCTACCCGTGACATATTTGATATGCCAAAAACAGTATCAACAAGTCTCACAATTTGTTGTTGGACATTACTGGTGCCCGCTCGAGCAAACTGATGAACAACCGGAGGACAGTGCCACACTACAGTGCTATATTTAAAAATAATACAAGATCATTATGGTTATTTAATAGAAAACGAGAATTAAGCGAGAATCTGAAATATAAAATGACAATCTATGAAACAGTTTTGGATCTATCACATTGCAGAATATAGAATCAGAAAACCCAGAATCATGTAGAGCTGATCCTTTAACAGCACAATGGTTCGAAGCTTCAAACTTCACCCCAATATAGCCAAAAAATCATGTATAACTCTGATTCTTCCAAAACTTAACTAACAGCCTATTAACCAACTTTACCAATAAAAGCAATTAATGATTTGTACATCTATTACAAACTGTATTTTTTTCTTGGTTTGGCGCCACACCCAGCAGTGCTCAGGCAGCTATGAGGTGCTAGAGATTGAACCCTGGCTCAATCAAGTATACTTTGCATACTTTGGCATGCAAAGTATGTCCTCTAGCCCCTATATATCATACTCTTCAACTACCAGCCCCTTAAATTACATTTTTAAAAAATCAGAGAAAGAATTACTAAGAAAAACAATAAATAAAATAAAATACATTTAAGTACTGTACTACAAGATATAATTATAATTGCTAAATTTTTCTTAACTGACAATGGCATCATGGTTGGTCTACAATTGTACACATAATTTCTGAGAAATTTTAACTTTTTAAGATATTTGTATATATATTTATTAGTAAATAAAAGGGACTACTGCCTATATATACTTTTTGTATTCATTACATTTAACTTTTCCTTAACTTTTAATCTTTCTAGGCTATGCAGTTCATCTGTGTATTTAAAAATTGTTAAATTCTCCAAAACAAGTTCCAATATAATTTATTGAAAGAAATCCCCATATAAGTGGACCTGTATGGTACAAATCCATGTTTTACAAATCCATACTAGACAAATCTGATGAAATTAGCAGTTAAATATGGACCCCAAATTCAAGAAAATTTAATATACAGAGAAATCTGAATTTTGGCAGGGCTTTTTTTGTGCTTTTGATATATAGGTGCCATTTTAAAAATGGAGTTATGCCTTTCAAGTAATGGAAAAGACCTCTTCCCACCTTTCCACTATCTCTTACCCATTTCCAAGTTTAAGAAATTACTGTACTTCTCTGTTTCTAGGTGAAAATAATTAAGAAGCTACCCCTTGCAAAGTAATATTATTGGTTAACCAATACTTGCACTCCAACCAAAAATGATATTCTAGTTATCTCCTCTTCACAGCATTAGGTTACAAAATTTTTTTAACATAAAAATAGAATGATGAAGAAATGCTTAACAAAAATAGAATGCATAAGAAATACTAACTAATCAACACCATCTTCAACAAAGTTCCATTTTGTCAACCTTTTTTATCTCCCTACCCACATACCTTTTTTCCCTTGGAATATGTTGAAACAAAACCTAGACATCATGTCATTTCACCCATAAATTCTCCAGTATATATCTGTAATTGGTATCATGTCATCATTTCACCTAAAATAATTATCAAAAATTCCTTAATATCTAACATCCAGTTTATACTCAAATTTCCCAAATTTTCTAAATGTCTTCTTATATTTGTTTTGTTCAAGTCAGGATCCATAAAGGCTCATTCATAATATGTGTCACTGGAGATGACTCATTACATCTCACAAAAGCCATGAAAAATTAAATTACTTGAACTTAAGGGGCTGGGGTGATAGTACAGTGGGCAGGGCATTTGCCCTGAACGCAGCTGACCTGGGTTTGATTTCTCCGTCCCTCTCGGAAAGCCCAGCAAGCTACCAAGAGTATCGCACCCACACAGAAGAGCCTGGCAAGCTCCCAGTGGCGTATTTGATATGCCAAAAACATTAACAACAAGTCTCACTTTGTGTTCCTGGAGCGAGCAGATCCCATTGGGCTACGCTAATATGCAACAGGAACAAATGGAGAAGTTACTGGTGCCCACTCGAGCAAATCGATGAACAATGGGATGACAGTGATACAGGGTTACTTGAACTTAAAATTTAATATATAAGAGGGCAAGGTAAAAATTACTCAAAACATCACTTAACAATTATTTTATATTTTAGTATTATGTTCTTGGAGTTGTTTACTCCTAATATTTATGTAGAGTGGTAATATTATATAATAAGTACCACCATACATCCTCTCACAAATCTGCATTCAGTGCAATTATATTTGTGACTTGAAATCAATACTTCAAGAATACTTAAACCAAGAAAATCAGCAAATGCTATAAATTATAGGGTTTCTTTTTTTGGCTTTTTGGGTCACTCCCGGCAATGCTCATGGGTTACTCCTAGCTCTGCACTCAGGAATCACTTCTGGTGGTGCTGAGGAGTTCATATGGGATGGTGGGGATTGAACCCAGGCCGGCCACATGCAAGGCAAATGCCCTACCCTCTGTACTACTGCTCCGGCCCCTAGTTTTTATTTTTAAGAAAATAAGTTGTTAAACATTTTTTAGCTTATTACAGTATTTTAATAACTTACATTCTATGATAGTTCCTCCCACTTATTTTGAACTTCAGATCTATTAGAAAAATTAAGTAATTTGTCCTAATACTTCCATATTTTGTCCCATATTATGAATATTTGCCATATTTATTATTTTATCTCCCTAAACAAGCTTCTCCAATCAAAGTAATATGGAGTTAAAATCCATGAATTTTAAAAAAGTCCAAAAATATTAGTAGCAATATGACCTTGACCAAGTCAAAACCTTTGATTCTTAGTCTCCATCTTCTATAAATAAACTGATAATTGTACCATTTTCTGGGGATATAAAGATGAAAGGCTGTATCATGGAATATGCATTTTTAAATATATGTATTAGAATCAGTTACCTAAGACATTCCTAAAAATTTCATTTCTAAGACAACTCAATATGAAATAGACCTCTTCCACAAAATACTAATGCTTTGGCTATAAGTGCCTAACATCCTTTTCTATAACCTTATTATCTTTATTTGTGTATATGCCTGACTAAAAATCCAGGGGCAGCAACAAATCTTACTTATCTTTGCATTCCTAACACATTCCTAAAAAGTTTCTAACACACACAAAAAAACTACTCATAGCAGGGAATCAAATATTGTACCTGTTGAACTATATTCTTATTTTTTTTTCAAAACCAGGCTTTTAGTTGTGGAAGAAAACCTTTAAAACCATTTAATCACTCTATGTTATTCAGTTTTGGGCTGGAGCAATTAGCACAGCAGTAGGAAGTTTGCCTTGTGCGGGGCTGGCCTGGCCGAGCCAGGTTCAATTCCTCCGACCCTCTCAGAGAGCCGGGCAAGCTACGGAGAGTATCTCATCCACACAGCAGAGCCTGGCAAGCGCCCCATGACGTATTCAATATGCCAAACACAGTAACAACAAGTCTCTCAATGGAGTTGTTACTGGGCTCACTCAAGCAAATCGATGAACAACAGGAGGACAGTGCTACAATGCAGTGCTATGTTATTCAGTTTTAGAAAATAAGATCCAACTAACAATAAATTTAAAAATTCTTTATAAGCAAATATATCTCAACTATTTATCAATTTCATCTCCTCCTAATATAAAAAAGTCATTTATGAGTCAAATAGCATACAGTTATACAGCATAAATATAAAATTTCCTTCATTAAAATAATGGTAAATTTAGTACTGCCATAGAAAAGTAAATCCAAATTCGGTATGACTTCATTTTACCAACTACAATATGAAATGTGGCAATTTTTGAAGTAAAAAGAATAAAAGCAATACCTACACTGGTTACTTTACGGTATATTTGAGCTGCATTCTGGCACTCAGAATAGGGGTACTCTGAAGTTGCCATTTCCAGCATACACATTCCAAAAGCATAAACATCTACAGATTCATCATAGTGCTCTTCATACATTTCCGGGGCCATAAACTCAGGAGTTCCTACAAAATAAAACAAATGCATGTTTGAACAAAATGTAATCACCAAGATCACATTCCCTTTGCCCTAGGATTATCTGCTCCCCAAATGTGTCTTAAAAATATAAAATGTGAAAGGCTTAATTTATCTCTATAAATCTCTTTAAGTTTTCTTCAAATTTTATATAATAAAGGATAATTTGTAATGTTAAAGATGAAATGATTACTAAAATTTTTTCTTTATTTCTCTTTTATGTACTCCAACTTCCATATTAAATTGGTAAAACCTTTATCTAAAATACACAGAATTATTCAAAACTCTTAAATATGTTCAACAAAAGAAACACACTCATAATGTCGCTGAAATTAAATGACATTTCAAAGCAAAATAAAATTCCAGGTCAGGGTTCAGCTAAACCCTATACTAGACATATACAATTAACAAATCTCTCTTTACCCAAACAATAGTCTATAAAATGTTAATCACCAATAACACTCTTAGCAAACGATGTACGCATTAAAGTGGCTAGTCCTAGATCACCAATCTTCACAGATCCAGTGGGTCCCGTGATGAAAATATTGTCACACTTCAGATCCCGATGAATAATAGGAGGAGTCCGAGTGTGCAAGAACTGCAACCCCTTTAAAATCTGCCTGCACCAGCTCCGTAAGACCTTTGGTTTCATGACTTTAAATCGTTTTAAGTACCTATACAAAAATAAGACCATATATAAATCAACATATTTAGTTGATTATATGAGTACTATCAAGGTAAATTATGTAGGTCAGCTGATATGACATGTATCACAATTGCCACCACAAAGTTATTTTCTATCATCTGTTATGGTTAAAGTTTTTTATAGCTGAGGACTTATTTTTAGTGAACAAATTCTAGGCAAGTTTAGCATCTGAAATTCAAAACAAGAATTATTCTACATATAAGTGAACTTCTGTGGCAAGACATCACAACTTAAAAAGTCCTTCCCTCCTTCGTAACTGCTTATAAAGTTATTAGTTTACCTATATATAATTTTAGTCTAAAGATTCTAAGAGAGGAAAAGTAATACCCTATATTTGAAATAAGCAATTATACTACCAAATGAAATACTGTAGTAAGAAACTATATTTATACAGTATCATTCACTATATAACATAACCATAGCATAATCTTTTATAAAATGACATTTTGTCTATGATTTCTAATTTTATTTTATCTACTGTTTATTAATTCACCGTGAATCAACTAGTTATTCATGATTGGGTTTCAGGAATACAACAGCCAACCCCTCAGCAGTGTCCACATTCTTCTACCAATGGTCCCTCCTTTATTTCCTTCCCACCCACCCACCTGTCTACATGATGCCTTTCTTTTTATAACTTTTGCCACTTGGTTTACAGTACTGGTGCCAATTGGGTTTCATGCATAACTTTTTAGTACCTTTCAATTCCCTTTGCTTCCTCCCTGTTGATCACGTCCCTCCTCCATTGTTGTTTTCCCTTCTATTCAATCTCCCTACCTTCCCACTCCCCAAAGTGGCATGCTTCCTAATGAAGATATGATTTCTAATTTTAAAATTTAATGTTGACTCACAAATATTAAAATTGTAACATTGTACATTCTAGCAAATTTCATTATAACCTAGTCTTTTTTATACTTTTAATTCATTTGTAGTTCATTTTTATATATAAATCTAATTTTTTGTCCAAATAATGACCAGTTGTCCCTATACCAGATTATTTATCTCCCTTCATGTTGTTGTTATTCATATTACGACCAGGAACTGCAGACACTTGATTTTAGTGCGCACATATTCAGTCACAGTGTGCCTGAAGTCATACACTTTTTGTTGTGGACATGGTGATCACAAATAGTGTACTGAGGCAGCAGATGCCATGTAGGGCAATAAAAGACATTGACCATCTCGCCTCACACCTGCAAAACAGGTACTCTATCACTGGTCCATCCCTGGCCACTCATCATCCTAATTTTTTAACACAATTTTAAATAGTTACTAGAATCAAATTCTATATATTCAGTACTGTAATTTTATAAATGACATTTATAACTCTTAAAAACTATTCCCAAATAACATTCTATTAGCACTATCATAGTCAACTTACGTCTTTAAGGTTCCTGATGTCATAAGTTCAGTGACTAATACAATACATTTCTTTCCTTTTAATACAGACTCCCAGGAATCATAAAATCGAACTATATTAGGATGCTGGAGACCCTTTAGCATCTCTGCTTCTTCCTTGAATCTCTGCTGCTCAGCTTTGGTTAATTTCCGATCCTAAAATGGATAAACAAATTCTAAATTGAAGTCTAGTAGTTTTCATGCATATTTCTAACATCAATCAAATGAGACCTTGATCTTATCTATTTTTATTTTTGTCAAACAAATTCTTTTCTGAGGATCTATATAATCCTTTTTAGTGACTTAAGATATTTTTTCACATAGCAGTTGTCACATTTCATTACTATGTAATAAATCTACCTGCACAGGGTCAGAGGTATAGCTGAGTGGTCTGAGCACATGTTTTGCATGCAGGAGGCCCAGGTTCAATCCCCAGCACTGTATGGTCCCATAAGCACCTCTGGGAGCAACCACAAACAGTGCAGAGAATAGTCATTAAGCACTGTTGGATATGGTTCCAAAACCACATACACACAAAGCAACAATAAACCTACCTGCATAATAAATAAATACTTTAAAAAACATTATCATGTATGTTAACTAAGCTTTTTGTGGTAATCATTTCCAAATGCATACATTTGTCAAATCATTATGTGCACATCTTTTTTCATACACTTTAATTATGTCTTACTGAAACTAGAAAATAATTAAAAATAAAAATTTTTACCACCAAAACAATTTCACATACTAAGAAAAAGTAAAACTCAGAGATAATAGGAAATATTCCCTAAGAAATCCCTGAATTTCCACATCTAAAGGTTTCATGTCATGTTAGGAATAATCAGAATGTTGTCACCTAGGGGCTGGAGTGACAGCACAGCAGGTAGGGCATTTGCTATGCACGTGGTCAACCCAGGTTCAATCCCTGGTTCTCCATATCACCTCCCAAGGACAGAGTAAGCCCTGAATACCACTGGTATGGCCAAAAAAACCCCAAAATGTTGTCACTTAGACAATTAGTCTGGTTAAGTATCTGAATTTCAAGCATATTTTCAGAAAGAAATGTCTAATTACCAACTACTAAAAGACTGTCAAACAAGCATCGAACCTTTAATTGGTGAAACCAAATACTGTAAGTCAAAAGATCAATGTTTACAGAATTCTGACTTACAACTATGACTCTAAAATTCTTAATAAGGACAAATGACAATCAAGTTTGTATGAGATAAATACACATTGCTCCATGAAGCCAAGGGAATAGAAAACATACTGTATCATAAACTTTTTCTGAAAATATTACTCCAGAAATTCAATACAAATGTGGCCAACAGAGAAAACAGAGGTTAGGAAGACTGGTCAATGGTTAGATCTAACTACAAATGTATGTGTGTGGCTAAGGGTAGGTAAGATAGAGAAGAGACCAGTATCACAATAATAGCTGAGAATGATCATGCTGGACCAGAACTGAGCGGTAAAAGTAGGGAAAGGCATATTCTTGATAGCATTTCAGTGTGATTTTTGCAAACCACAACACCCAAAAGGAGAGAGAGAGCAAGATAGAGACAAAGAGAGAGAGAAAGAGAGAGAGAACAAAAGTGCCTGCCACAAAGGCAGGTAGGGGAGTGGGTAGGGGGGTGATGGCAGGGAACCTGGGACACTGGTACTGGGAAATATATGTACACTGGTGGAGGGATGGATGTTGGAATGGGTATGGCTGAAATACAATCATGAACAGTTTTGTAAGGGTCTATCTCACAGTGATTCAATTAAAAAGTTAAAAAATATAATGTAGCCAAATAAAATTAGAAATAATTATGTGGCATATGCTATATACTAAAAATTTTCCAATATACCATACTTAAGAGTCAAGCCTATGGCTAATGTAATTGGCAAAGCTAAACTTTCCAAACAGTGACATGAAGCTATGTAAAACAAAAAGAACAATTGATTCAAACAGGTACCACCCGGCGCCTAGGGCCAGGAACTCTTTCTGGGCATGCGCAGCTAGCGTGATCTCCTAGAACAGCCAGTTTTCCCCCTTGATCTGCGTGGGACAGGAACTGAGGAACATCTCGCAGAAACAAAGCTGAACAGCTCCGGGCATTCTCTCCTCATTCAAACAGGTACCGCCCAGCGCCCAGGGCCAGGGACTCTTTCTGGGCATGCGCAGCTAGCTTGATCCTCTAGAACAGCCGTTTTCCCCCTTGATCTGTGCGGGAAGGGAACTGAGGCACATCTTGTGTAACCAAAGCTGATGGGCTGCGGGCGTTCTCTCCTCATTCAAACAGGTACCGCCCGGTGCCCAGTGCTGGGTAACCCTTTCCAGGGCCAAAGCCGCATTAGCAGCCGCAAATTATTCTCCCACTACATATCCCATAGGAACCATAAGTTACCCTCTTAGATAGAACCTTCTCTAGGTTAGCTCAACCACTAGAAACACATTAGCCAGTAACTCGTTAAGCCTATCTCAATTCATTCTGCATATCAAGCAGAATAGTAACAGTGAACGTGAAGGTCTAAACCACACTGGTCACAATGGTAAAGCAACAAAAAAGCCACAGAGTGGCAGGATATATTAGAAAATTGAACCCAACATTCTGCTGCCTCCAAGAAACACATCTTAATAGTCAAAGCAAACACAGGCTCAGAGTCAAAGGCTGGAAAGCAATCTGACAGGCAAACAGCTCCCATAAAAAAAAGCTGGGGTAGCCATCCTAATATCAGACCACATCTATTTCAGAGTGAAGAAGGTCACAAGAGACAGTGAATGCTATTTCTTATTGATCAAAGGATCTGTACAACAGGAAGAACTTACTAAATGTATATGCACCTAATGAGGGATCAGCAAAGTACTTAAAACAACTACTCATAGATTTGGAGAAAGACATCAATAGCAACACAATACTAGTGGGAGAATTCAACACCGCTTTATCACCTCTTGATAGATCAACCAGACTCAAGCTTAGTAAGGACATACTTCATCTGAGGGAAACAATGGAAGAAAGGGACTTAGTAGATATATACAGGACACTTCATCCTCAAAAAGCTGAATACACATTCTTCTCAAGAGTACATGAAAAATTCTCTAAGATACACCACATACTGAGCCAGAAAACATACCTCCATAAAATTAAGAATATAGAGATTGTATCAACAATCTTCTCAGACCATAATGTGCTGAAATTAGAAGAAAATTACACACAAAAACAGAAAACTAAATCAAACACCTGGAAATTAAAAAGTGTGCTATTGAACAACGAGTGGCTTAGAAAGGAAATCAAAGAGGAAATCAAAAGATTCCTAGAAATGAATGAAAATGAGGTCACGAGTTACCAAAATTTATGGGACACAGCAAAACCTGTGTTAAGAGAAAAGTTTATAGCTCTATAAGCATTTCTCCGGAAGGAGGAGCGAGTCCACATAAATAACCTAACCTCACAACTTAAGAGCTTGGAGAAGGATCAACAAAAGGAGCACAACCCGAACAGGAAGAAGGAAATAATAAAATTCAGAACAGAGATTAACGAGATGGAAACCCAAAAAAGAATTCGAAAGATCAATGAAACCAAGAGCGGTTTCTTCAAGAAAATTAACAAGATCGATAAGACTCTAGCAAAACTCACAAAGAAAGGGAGAGAGAAAACCCTAATAAACTGAATCAGAAATGAAAAGGGGGTCATTACAACAGAAACTACAGAAATTCAAAGGATCCTCAGGGAGTACTTTGAGACACTTTATGCCACGGAACATGAAAATCTCGAGGAAATGGATAAATTCCTAGACTCCTACAGACTCCCAAGGCTGAACCAAGAAGACCTGGAATACCTGAACAGACCTATCACCATCAAGGAATTGCAAAAAGTCTCCCCAAGCACAGAAGTCCCGGCCCGGATGGATTCACTAGTGAATTCTTCCAAATCTTTAAAGAGGACTTACTCCCAATTCTCTTTAAGCTTTTCCACGAAATTGAAATATCAAAAACACTTCCAAACAGTTTCTATGAAGCAAATATTACCCTGATACCAAAAGCAGACAGAGATACCACAAAGAAAGAGAATTACAGGCCAATATCCCTGATGAACACAGATGCAAAGATCCTCAACAAACTACTAGCAAATAGAATCCAACGACTCATCAAAAAGATCATATACCATGACCAAGTAGGATTCATCCCAGGGATGCAAGAATGGTTTAACGTTTGGAAATCAATCAACATAATCCATCATATCAACAAAAGAAAAGATAAAAAGCATATGATCATATCAAAAGATGCAGAGAAAGCATTTGACAAGATCCAGCACCTCTTTATGATGAAAACCCTAGCCAAAACAGGTATAGGGGGTCTTTCCTCAACATAGTTAAAACCATCTACCACAAGCCTACAGCAAGCATCATCCTCAATGGGGAAAAACTGAGAGCCGTCCCTCCAAGATCAGGGAGGAGACAAGTATGCTCACTCTCTCCAATGCTGTTCAATATAGTACTGGAAGTACTTGTAATAGCGATCAGGCAAGAAAAAGATATTAAGAGCATCCAGGTAGGAAAGGAAGAAATCAAGCTCTCACTATTCGCAGATGATATGATACTGTACTTAGAGAACCCTATAACCTCCACCAAGAAACTCCTAGAAACAATACACTTGTATAGTAAAGTTGCAGGCTATAAAGTCAATACCCAAAAGTCCATGGCTTTCCTATACACAGTGAGAGAGAAGAAAGTGACATGAAAAAAACAATCCCGTTCACAATTGTGCCCCAGAAAATCAAGTACATAGGAATCAGCTTAACTAAAGAAGTAGAGGACCTGTACAAAGAAAACTACAAAACACTGCTTCAGGAAATAAAAGAGGACACAAGGAAATGGGAAGATATCCCCTGCTCATGGGTCAGGAGAGTTAACATTGTCAAAATGGCAATACTTCCCAAAGCATTGTACGAATTCAATGCAATCCCTATAAGGATACCCATGACATTCTTCAAAAAAAAAATGGAGCAAACACTCCTGAAATTCATATGGAACAATAAGCCCCCACAAATAGCTAAAGCAATTCTTGGGAAAAAGAAAATGGGAGGAATCAACCTCCCTAACTTCAAACTCTACTACAAAGCAGTAATAATTAAAACAGCATGGTACTGGAACAAAAGCAGAGCTGCAGA